ATATATATATATATGATGGTATACTGGTGGGTAGTCTGCACAAATAGAGATGACACCCGCGCCTTGAGGTACCTAGGTATACCTGGGTTTACAGGTATTTATTACAATATCAATTATGCAAAATGCAAAGCAGTTCAATTCATGCAAACTAATTCTACAGATGAAATACAAAATGCAGTAATATACCAGTATAATAAATGTACGTTACCCTACAGCAAAAGCGCAGATCGAGTGAATTTAGTAATACTTTCAGGTTACATAAAAGAAACAAAGAGTTAAAAGTATGTGGCAGTGCCCCTACAACTACGTTGCCTGGCAGTCAACTCGGACGAGTGACTGTACGAAATTCCTTCGATGCCTAGTCCCCAGTCCTGAGGTGGTACCAGGAAGCAGGGAATGTCTGGATGTTGTACTCCACCGTGTATACAAGGAAACGGAGAAGGTCCCTAACCATATGTGTATATGGGCTTTGGCTCGTACAAGGATGGTGCCAAGTACAGGTGTTATGTACTTCCCGAGGTTCTGTACGTTGTAGAGAAGTGCACAACGTAACAGTTTAGTAACGTGAAACTTTCTGACGTAAAAGTATTTGGCCTAAAAGGAGGAGGAACGGATAAGTTAACGTATAAGAGCGCAGCACTTGCAATCTTGCAGAAATAGTTTAGATTTAAAGTAAATGATGAGATGTATGTGATATTAGAGAAATTTGAGCTTACCAAGTGATGGTGTGTGGCCAACGAAGTGATCTTTCCGGGAGGAGGTTGACGATAACTATTGCACTAGCACTTTGCAGAATCCAGAAGCTACTGTATGCAATACTTAATTGACTTTATTACAAAAGTTATAGTGCAGAAATCGTGAGTGTAAATCAGCAAAATAGCTTTTAAACGGCTTCAAACTGCCAAATCAAAATGGTGCCTCTTCACACAGAATTACTACCCAAAAAACTCATAAATTCTTCAAAACCCGCGAATTTTTGGGCCAATGGAGGGGAGATGACTGTTTAGGGATTTTCTAAATCTAAATGGTTTTAAATTAGCTATCTCTCTCTGGTGTATATAAGGTTAGATAGGTATAACCACAGACAAAATATTTGGATAAAGATGACAGAAATAAATTGGGGTTATGTTTATACCTGGAAAATGTATCAACAAGAGAAGTTTGTTGTACCGATTATTAAATTGCAAGTGACTCATATGCTGTTACTCTTATACTGGGACATTCTAAGATGCACTCCATCTCTGCGGAGCTTAAACGGATAAGGTTATGGACGGATATTATGGACAATGTTCGGAGGCTACAAAGGTAAGTTTTTGGAAGGTTATTTAATACTTCAGTAATATTGATATTGTTTGCAGGCTGGGGGGACACCAACTAGACTAGGCATCGATTGCTGAAGTACGTAGCAACAAGTTACCTGTACTATTTAATAAATAAAGAATTTTAGCATACTGCCGTCTTATCATTTTTCCCTTTTCAGAGTATAAGGTCCCACAATAAATCTAAATGAATTTTAAGTAAACAAAAAAAATATAAGCACGTAACAAGTTACGTATGATTACGTTACGTGACCAAAAATAAGAAAGTTCCTATAAACCTATGTCCGAAAATGCTTCGTTTCGGAGATCCAGGCTGTTGAAATTTAGAGAAAATGCAAGGTTTTTACTAATATTTGGAGAACCCTAATTCCGATTTTTTTGAAATTTGGTATGTTTGTTTATAAAAACGGTAGACGTCTTCTGACGTACTTTAGCTGCTCACTGCTGTTGATATTAATAAGTAAACATATGAGACGTCACTGCTTTTTCTTAAGTGTCATATGTTTTTCTAATTATGCGATAAAAAATACAACTTTTTTGTCTTTACTTTTTTGATATCTTGCTACGTTTTCGAGCAAAAAATTTATAGCTTAAGTGTGTGATTTTAATAAGTACTTGAACTGTGTAGTTGTCAATTCCTGCTTGTCAAAATGAATTACACAAATAGTGAAATGTGCGATATGCATTTTCTGTATGGCCTTGTCAACGGTAGGTAATGCATTAGCCGCCAGGCGTCTCTATGAGCAGAAATACCCTAATCGCATAATTCCTCATCATACTATCTTCACCCGTCTTCATCAACGTCTTAGTGAAACTGGAAGTTTTCGAAAACTTACCGCAGGAAACAGGCGATCAGCACAGCAATAACCCTACAATTGGAGGAAGATGTACTTCATGAAATTGAGGACACTCCAACAACAAGTACCAGACAGATTGCTAGAAACTTAAATGCAAGTCGTTCTACAATTTTCAGGAATTTAAAAAATAATCTTGTATACCGTTATCACATCCAACGGGTTCAGGCACTTTTACCGACTGATTTTCCGTTAAGATTAGATTTATGTCGATGGATACGACAAAAAATTGGGGAAAATCCTCAATTTTTAGCAGAAGTACTATTCACGGATAAGGCGAATTTTTCAAGAAAAGCCCTAAAGAACTTCCATAATAATCATGTCTGGGCGGACGAGAACCCAAATGCAATATTAGAAGGCCGTCATTAACACCAGTTTTCACTTAATGTATGGGTCGGAATTGTGGGAGACCACTTAATAGGTCCATTTTTTTACCACCGAGGCTTATTGGAGATGTTTATCGCCGTTTTCTTGAGGATGAATTGCCCGTACTTTTGGAAGACGTCCCACTGCCATTAAGGTTGCAAATGTATTTTATGCACGATGGTGCTCCACCCCATTTCAGTTTAGCTGCACGTGAATATTTGAACAATATCAACCCAAATTGCTGGATAGAGGAGGCAATCAACCCTGGCCCCCGAGGTCTCCCGACTTAAATTCGTTGGATTTTTTCCTTTGGGGTCGCCTCAAACATTTGATTCATATGACTCCAGTGCAAACCATAGACGAATTAAGAAACCGCATTGTCGCATCCTGTGAAACAATTAGACACACAGTCGGAATATTTGAACGGGTTCGCCAATCAATGTGTCGTAAGATAGATGCTTGTATTAGAGTTGAAGGTGCACATTTTCAACAACTGTTGTAACGCCTGTGTATGTAAAGTATTTTTCATATCATTGCTGTTTGTTAAATATTTTTTCTTATGTTTTTCCTTCAAATGTATTGTTAAAGTTGATTAGTAAATAACTAAAACATTGAATTTCTATTTTTGTTTTCTACTTCCCTTAAGAATGTGCATATGAAAGGATATTAATTTTTTGCTCGAAAACGAAGCAAGATATCAAAAAAAGTAAAGAGACAAAAAAGTTGTATTTTTAATCGAATAATTAGAAAAAATGTGACACCTAAGAAAAAGCTGTGACGTCTCATATGTTTACTTATTAATATCAACAGGAGTGAGTCCCCGGACGTGCTGGAATCGATAAAATAAATCAAATTGCTTCAGAAGACGTCTACCGTTTTTATAAACAAACATACCAAATTTCAAAAAAATCGGAATTGGGGTTCTCCAGATATTAGTAAAAACCTTGTATTTTCTCTAAATTTCAACACCCTGTATCTCCGAAACGAAGCATTTTCGGACATAGGTTTACAGAAACTTTCTTTCTTATTTTTGGTCAAGGAAACTCCCCCTGAATTTTTTCGCAATATTAATGGGAAACCCTGTATAACCAATTTAAGATAAATTCAAGAAAAATCATTAGGTCTGAGAGCTGGTGGATCTAATAGGTCTTCTCTTTATAAAATAAAAGAATTCGCTATTCCAGGCAGGTAGTTCTAGTTTATTTCAAAGTATCTCAAGAAAAATATAACTGCTTTCCAATGCCTACGGCAGTTAAACTGACATAGAGTGACCTGCTAATTTGCAGACATGAAAGCAAAAGCTTGTGTGGCCGCATGAATATTAACAAGATTTTGTATTCAAACTATCTATGCCTGTAGACACATCAAAATAGCTGGACGAGAATTAATAAATTCGAAACCCGTATATGTCTGGTGGTTTTACTGATTATTTACTGATTAATTGTCATTTTTAATTACTGAGTTACTAAAAACCCGATTTTATGAGCTATCATAATTGATCCTTCACACTTTTATTAGTATTAAACGACGTAGGCATTTTCATGAAGCACGTCTGCTATCCTGAAGCAATTTCTTCGATTTATTCCGAATGAACCTTTATTTTATGCGACTTTTAATGGTGCGGAAGTTACAGTAGAAGTGGCACGCGGTCTGCCGACGAAGCATCGTTAAGTCTAAGGATATTGATTAAGTTTTAATGCCATTATATTAAATTCTGTCGACCGTTCAGTCGCTGCGTAGGATTTTTCCAGTAGTGACGCCGAGTAAGCTGAAAATACTTCTCCCCCGTTATAATTTAATAAAAAAATTAATGAAAAGGTAGCGGCCGGTTACGCGAATTAGACGTATTAGGACAGCTGGCTCTTGCTGCCTTTGCTAAATGAGAGGTATAAATATGGGTTTTGTTTTCTTTTGTCATTACACAAGTTTTTCCTTCAAAAATCGGCCTGAGTATTCCAGGGAAAAAAGTCAACATCTCGTAATTCCATTTTAGTAGAAAGAATGTATTTATATTTATACAGGGATGGCCAGAATACTGAATAAAATTCATATCTTTTGAATGAGTTAATTTTTTTTAAAACGCCGAAAACGTTAACTTATTTTGATTTTTTCCCATCTTTCGGTTATATAATAATTAATTTTTCTTCAACCCCCTAACCCCCAGCTACCCCTACTTTTTTTTTCAAATGGAAACATAAGGCATGAGGGGGCTCGTTGAAAAACTTATAGAAAACGAATCCAGCCATACCAAATAAACAAGTTTTATTTCTTCAATAGCAAGGTTTTCAGGGTTGTATAAAACACCTACTTAACATGTGAAATAAAATTTAATTATCTTCAGTGTTATCCTCCATGAATTTGCACAGAATAAAATAAAGAATTTGAAACTGTACCTATCACTGCTCACGCAAAAAAGATATATTTTTTATGTTGCGTTTTTTTGATACCACTTACTTGCCAGGCTTTCTGGTTAATTTTTCGCTTTAGTTGTAAATTGGAGTTTGAAACGTTACTATTGTATCAAAATCAAGTTATTTACTGAATTGCAATGGTATTGTCGAAACCTTGATAAGAATTCAGGCTGAAGTGCGCGATTTATTTAATGCGAAATATCCCGAAAACGAAATCTCGCAAGGGACAGTTAGTAAAATATTTCACAAATTTGAGGAACACGGTACAGTACAGACTTTGCCCAAAACTGGACGGGCACGTGCTTTGAATGAAGAAAAGAAATTAGACATTGCATTAGAACTTGTTGAAAATCCTCATACTTCAACTGTTTCATTGACCCGCAATCACGATGCTTCTCGAACTGCAATTCGAATGTTTCTGAAACAAGAGAAATACCTATAAGGTATGTCTTGTCCAAGAGCTTTTGGAAGACGATTATGATAGGCGATTACAATTTTGTGAGGAAATGATGAGACGGTGTGACGACAATAATGGTTTTCAACGAGACGTACTTTTTTCGGATGAAGCTACGTTTTATTTAAATGGAGTGGTTAACAGGCACAACTATTGCTTTTGGTACCAGGAAAATCCATACTGGACATGCGAATCGCATACGCAGCATCCACAGAAAGTTAATGTATGGGCAGGTATCATCAACAACAGAATCTTGGAATCCATTATTTTTTGAAGAAAATCTTACCGCCGCACGCTACCTGGATTTCCTAACACCTGATACCTGATCTATTCGTGATATTCCCTCACGAAATTGATGCAGATATACCGAATGAAAGAATTTGGTTCCAACAAGATAGCGCTCCCCCACGATTTGGTATTGATATTCGAAGATACTTAGATGAAATGTTTCCAAATCGCTGGATTGGTAGACGGGGTACAGTTTAATGGCCGCCAAGATCCCCCGACTTAACACTCATGGATTATTTTCTTTGGGGATATTTGAAAGAAAGAGTCTACCAGGACAGAGCGGATAATATTGAGAATTTAAAGAACAGGATTAGGGTGGAGATGCACAATTTAGCTGAAGTTATTCAAAATGCTGTGGACAGCATTACTATCGTCTTGGATAATGCCAAATAGTGAAGGGAGGACATTTTCAGCATTTGCGACATCGAGTTTATTTTTGTAAATTATCTAGTTGTTTCAATTTCTAAATGAAAAAAAAACTTGTTTATTTGGTATGGCTGGATTCAATTTTCTATAAGCTTTTCAACGAGCCCCCTCATGCCTTATGTTTCCATTTGAAAAAAAAAGTAGGGGTAGCTGGGGGTTAGGGGGTTGAAGAAAAATTAATTATTATATAACCAAAAGATGGGAAAAAATCAAAATCAGTTAACGTGTTTCGGCGTTTTAAAAAAATTTACTCATTCAAGATATATGAATTTTATTCCGTACTTCTGGCCATCCCTGTATATTGTTTACTAAATACAAATTACGCA